TATTCATCTAGTATGTTTTCTAGGCCATTTTTACATGATGACCTAGAAAACTCAACGCGCGAAAGTTAGGCCACCATGTTAAAATGACCTAAAAACACACCAGATCAACATCAAATCATTTCTAGGCTAAAAAGTATCGTGGCCTAGAAAATTCATGTTGTGAAAGTTGGGCCACCAAGCCAGATAGCCTATAAAGTTTGTCTGGGTAAGTTCTTCCATCATTCTAGACGTCCTAGGAAAAAATGGTAACGATGCGATTTTTTACAAGTGATTCCGGCGGTTAATAGCAATTATTGTCGATAAATTTGTCGATAAATTGTCGACAAACAGCATTTTTATCGACAAATTGTCTATAAATGTTGTTTTTATCGACAATTTGTCGGTAATTTTCCGATAAATTTACTGGCAAATTTGTCGATAAATTTGTCGAAAAGGGCGTTTGTCGACAAATCATTTGTCGATAGGCACACTGGTTTTTGAGATACAAACGTTTAAATTTGGGCATTTTTCCTCCTATGATGCGCACCCAACTTTAAACGCGTTTATCTCAAAAGCTAGAAGAAATAGAAAAGTTTCGACAACTACAAAAATTTAAAACATGCAAATTTACACGTTTTACTGATTGACAACTTTTTTCTAGCATTTTTAGTTTTTGAGACACAAGCGCGCGAAGTTAGGCGCCCTTTTGGCACTTCATCTGATGCGCACTCAACTTTAAACGCTTGAATCTCAAAAACTATGAGCGCCACTAAAATATTTTTAACTACAAAAATGTAAACCATAATATTTCACACACTTCAACAATTGAAATCACTTTTCTAGCTTTTTTAGTTTTTGAGATACAAATGTTTAAAGTTGAGTATCCTTTTGTCACCTCTTTTGGCATATACACAACTTCAAACGCGTATATCACAAGAACTAAAAACGCTATCAAAATTTTGTTAACTTTAAAAATGTAAAGCATAAAATTCCACACATTTCAACAGTTAAGGTCATTTCTCTAGCTTTCTTAGTTTTTGATATACAAGCGCGCAAAGTTAAACGCCCTCTTGGCACCTACCGTAGCGCGAATCAAACTTCAAACGCGTATATCTCAAGAACTAAAAACGCTATCAAAATTTTGTCAACGACAAAGATAAGAAGCATAGTATTTTACATATTTCAACAGTTAAAAATATTTTCGCACTGTTTCTAGTTTTTGAGTTACATGCGCGCAAAGTTAGACGCCCTTTTAGCACCAACAATAGTGCGCACACAACGTAAATCATGTATATCTCAAGAACTAAAAACGCTATTAGCATTTTTTTACTATGAAAATGTACTACATGAAATTTCCCACATTTTATTAGCTGACGATTTCTTTCTAGCTTTTTTAGTTTCAGAGATACAAGCGTTAAAACTTAGGCGCCCTTTTTGGCACCGCCAATGGCGCACCACAGAATTTTGAGCGCGTGGCCCAGTATCCAAGGGTACATCAGAAAAGGGTACATCGAGTTCTTAGGGTACATCTGGGAGGTAGGTTCAAGGGGTACATCTGGCGTTGGTTCTGAGGGTACATCGGAGAAAGGATCCCAGGGTACATCGACAAGTTCTTAGGGTACATCAATTAAAAATTTTGTAGTTGTCAGCTGGGAGATATTTAGGTTTACACTGCACTATTTTATTTGTTTTTTTTTTGTCTTGTTTGAAAAAGTACAGTTTTTTTTCATATTTTTTTTGACTACTCGCCAAATGTGCATTGCAGTCCACTGCAATTCCACGAAAACTGCCAAAACGCGATGTAAAAGCGCCAGAAAGATGGGGATACAGAAACTAGGACCAGATAATTCGTAATAGACAGTAGTAGTTTTCTTAATTTTTAATAAAACTGGTTTTTTGTTGACATGAGTTTGCTCTCAAAATCATCTCTTAATGTCGCCGGTCGGCCCTCTTGCTGTTTTTGAAGGTATCATCATGTTGCGATATTCCAAGGATTTGTTTTCTTCGGCAGGCTCAAAATGTAATAGTACATCTATTGCATTCTGTGGATACAAGCTCCAATAAACAAATCTTCCTTATTAATAAAACGCTAGAGGCGTCTGTCCGTCCTCGTGTCCGTCTGTAGACTTTTGAAAAAATTGAAAAATACATATATATTTACGTGACCCTTTTATTTAGAAAAAGTGAGAAACGAAGATTTGAAAAAAATAGATGGAATCGCGCCGAAGGCTCACCAGCTTGCTGGTCAATCGATAAAACTATGAGAAACTGTACTTTTTCAAACAAATCGACAAAAAAAAACAAATAAAATAGTGCAGTTTATACCAAAATATCTTCCAGTTGAAAACTACAAAATTTTTAATTGATGTACCCTAAGAACTTGTCGATGTACCCTGGGATCCTTTCTCCGATGTACCCTCAGAACCAACGCCAGATGTACCCCTTGAACCTACCTCCCAGATGTACCCTAAGAACTCGATGTACCCTTTTCCGATGTACCCTTGGATACTGAGCCTGAGCGCGTATATCTCAAAAACTAAAAACGCTACTAAAAATTTGTTAACTACAAAAATGTAAAGCATGAAATGTGATATACTTTACTAGTTGAAACTATTTTTTAGCTGTTTTAGCTTTTGAGATGCAAACTCGCGAAGTTAGACGCCCTTTTGGCACCTCCTGTGGTGCGCACCCAACTTAAATCGTGTGTATCTCAAGAACTAAATACGCTATCAAAATTTTGTCAACTACCAAAATGTGAAGCATGAAATTTTACACATTTTATCAGTTTAAAATATCTTTCTAGCTTTATTAGTTTCTGAGATTCAAGAGTTTGAAGGTCGAAAGTTCATTTTTCTGTTCGCCTTTGTTTGTCCCGATGTCCTCTCAAAGGCGGGAGCTCATTAGTTTTCATTTCCTCCTCCACCTACTTTCGACAAATTTCGCTCCTCATTAGCAGCTTCATGGAGCTCCACCACTCTGCGTCTCTCTCGCTACTCTACGTCTCTCACCTCCCCACACTCTCTCGTCTCGTCGTCTTGGCAACGGCCGCCCCGGGGCAGCCACACGAGTAGTCTTGAACCCACTACCGGAAACTTTCTACTTCTCAAGCTCTCGAATCTTCTCATTTCACCATCTGTCCCTTTAAATTCCCCAGTTTTCCAGAATTTTCTAGACCAAAGAAGAAAAATGTAAAATGACCGATAAATCGTGGTTCGAAACGATATTCTGCTGCTGCAATCGACGGCCAGTGATTCGGCGGTAATTTGAATTTCAGAATTTTTTTTGAAAAATTTTTTTTCAGAGAAATCAAATTGGGATGTTTCGGCATTGGTGGTGCTGGAAAAACGTTCTTTCTGAAAGTTCTCAAAGGAGGTTTGTGGCAATTTGGGCATAATTATCATTGGAGCGCATTTGCCATATTTAAAAATTCAAATTTGAAACTTTTCCAGAAGATCCTCGCGATTTGCTCCGTACCAACGGGTTTTCGACGATCAAAATGGAATACGATGAATCGTTTCAATTGACCGTATACGATGTGGGCGGAGACAAGGGAATACGCGGTATTTGGAGTAATTACTATGCTGAGGTAAAAGTTAGGCCATGGTTTTCTAGTCCATACATTTTTTTTCAAAATTTTGAAATTTTTCTTTCAGGTCCATGGTATAATCTATGTGATAGACTACTCGACGGATGAGACATTCTTGGAGTCATTGGAGGTGAGTCAAATTCGAATTATTGCGAAATGTGCTATTTGAATTAATGATGAGCAATCCTCATTGAGGATTAAGTATTTTTGAGGGGGAAGTGTTATGAAATTGAGAAAAAATTCCTAAAAAACTTTTTTTAAAAAACTGCAACCCCCGGGGAGTCGAACCAAAAACCTCTAGATCCAAAAGTTGCGCGTAGACCACTACACTACGCGTGCACGCTTGAAAAAATAGAGCGGAGGGCGTATATCAAAGCGCCGCCGCTTGCCACGTTTCAAAAGGGCATAAAAAATTTCCAGGCATTCGACGCTCTCAAAAATCACCCACATGTCCTCAAAAAACCAATTTTTCTACTTCTCAACAATCAGAATAACCGAGAATTCGATGACGTCGAAATTTCCAATGAGGTGAGAACCCATTTCTTCAAATTTTTCGAGTTCCCGCGCAAATTTCAAATTTCCAGACAAACATCCAGCCGGGACAGCACAAATGCGTTCTGTTTTCCCACTTCAACAAGTACACTGGTTATGTGAGTAGTAAACGCGCTCCATTGAGAATATTGAGACAATAGAGCGCACTTTCTTTCAGCTGAACAATATAAAAAATGCGACGATGACGGTGGAGGCGCGGACCAAGAAGGATAAGCACGAGTTTCAGGAACAATTTGGGAGATTTATTGATTCGGTTCGTTTTTTGCTTAAAATTTCAAACTCCCGCTTCCAAGTCCAATAGAGCGCATTTGCATTCACTCAAAAAATTTGAATTTCCCGGCTAAAAGCCAGCATTTTCCGATAGCGATTGCCTCAATGCAACGTGGCACGACGCAAACCGGAAATCGCCGCAAAATTTCAAACTTCCCGCGGTTTTAAGTCCAATAGAGCGCATTTGCAGATCTCTGAGCACTATGTGGAGCTATCTGAAGGCGTGAAAGCGGCCGAATTAGCTCTGAAAATTCGTCAAGATGCAGCGAAAGAGCAACGACGTCTGATGCAAATGAAAGTGGAGCACGATGCTTTGAAAGCTGACGTCGCTGGACTGGAACTTCGGAATCCTCCACCTCAACCAGCTGCCCAACCGGTCCACCCTGATCCGCCATCCGATCCCAAATCCGCTTCAATCAATTTAGACGAGAGCCCACCACTTTCCCTTGCCAGCTCCACAATCCCATCTGATATTATTCAGAGCTCACCGGAAGAAGTCACTCCCCGCGACCCGGTTCCTAAGTAAGCCCTCTCTTGCTTTTTCTGAATTTTCACCAATGGTTTCTAGTTTTTCCAGAATCTCTCAAACTAGCACTCTGCCGGTGTCACCGCAAGACTCCCATGCACACATCAAGATGGAAACACCGATCCTCCGAGACAACTACTTTCTACCTCCGAAGACTCCGGGAAGACAGTACAGTAGGATACAACGAATCCAGAATGTCCTCAATGGTAGTCGAGTTGTGCCAAAATGATCCTTTTTGATATCCGATCTCTCACTTTGTCCCCCCAACTGTTTGAATCAATGAAGAAGATTTGATATTGGATGTTAACAAATTTATTGAAAACAAATAACAAGATCTTAGTCGAAGAGACCGAAGCCCATGTCGTCGTCGGATTCCTCCTTTGGCTCCTCCTTCTTCTTGGTCTCGGCGGCTGGGGCGGCTCCTCCGGCAGCTGGGGCAGCAGCGGCGGCGGCTGGAGCTGGTCCAGATCCGGCTCCAGATGAGACAGAAGTGATGAGGTTCTGGAAAAAAAATAGTTTCGTTAGGGGAAGGCGCTCTAATAATATTATTACCTTCACATCAACTCCCTCGAGAGCCTTGGCGAAGAGTCCTGGCCAGAATGGCTCGAACTCGACGTTGGCGGCCTTGAGGAGAGAAGAGATCTTCTCGGCGGTGATGGCGACCTCGTCATCTTGAAGAATGAGAGCAGCGTAGACGCAAGCCAGTTCCTGGTTCGAAGCCATTCTTCAGACGTAAGTTGCGGGGTTTGCCTTAGCTCCAAAGAGAACAAACGTTTGAAAGAACGCTGAAAATTGATATTAGTGTCACTGGGTGACAAAAAGATACAGAGGCACAAAGATGCACGAATAAAGATAAATGTCATGGATATGGACCATGTAAAAGATATTCAACAACATAAGACAATTCAACTTGAAACATTGTTTAATACAGTGTAACAACATGGCTTAAGCCACCAAAACGCAAGCTCCTCCGGCCTTCTTGATCTTTTGCTCAGCTTCGTGGGAGAAGTAACGGGCCTTGACGATGAGTGGAGTGGTTGGGAGAAGTCCCTTTCCGAGGACCTGCAAAGAAAAAGTAAATTTTAAGTTGTAAAAAATAGAGAATTGTCTCGAACCCAGAGGATGACATTTGCCGAAATTCAAGGCAAACACCGAAGGAGATCCGAAAGTCTAAAAGACACTACTTTTCCTCTCGTAACATACACAACCACATTCACCAGTGGAAGCGCCAAGACGAGAGATAAAAAGGTAATTTGGAGCATAAAACCAACCTTGAAGTATCCAAGCTTGGTGCAGTCGATGACTGGAGCCTTTTGTCCGGTAACCTTATCGCGCACCTCTTGTGGGACGAGGGACCAAAGACGCTCAACGTTGACGGTTGGGCAGTAGTGGTGGTTCTTGTTAAGGTGGAAGACTCTCATTCCGACCTTAAAAATGAATTGAATTAGTACAAAATATTAGAATAAATGTTTAATTTTGAATGTCTCGAACCCAGAGGATGACATTTGTCGAGATGCAAGACAAACACCGAAGGAGATCCGAAAGTCCAGAAGACACTACTTTTTCTCCTATAACATACACAGCCACATTCACCAGTGGAAGCGCCAAGATAGGAGGAAAATTCGCTGAGGAATTTGAAATTTCAATATGTACCTAAATAATCACCTTTCCGAAGTATCCTGGATGGTACTTGTCACGGTTGATGCGGTGGTGGTGTTGTCCTCCAGCGTTTCCGCGACCTCCAGGATGCTTCCTGTGCTTTCCAATACGTCCGTGTCCGTGCGAGACGTGACCACGGAGCTTTCTGGTCTTTCTCTGCGCGTGAGCCATACCCTGGAAGAAAAATAGGTTGACTAGGTTGAAAAAACATAAGATAACGATAAAGAGAGCGAACAAAAAATTTAGGCCAAAAAAAACTGAAAATTTCGACTGTTTTCTTGCGAAAATCTAGTGATCTCTGTGAATTTTCAGTGGGATTTTCCAAAAATTACAAAAAAACTTCGAATAAAAACTACAAAAACCGAAGAGAACGAAAAGAAATCCCAAAAAGTTGAGAAATTCATCGCAAAAGTGTCCTAAAACGCAGTACTACGGTGTCAGTCGTTGCGGCATGTGCCCAGTCGTGGCGAGACCCGCGGGTGGAAATACGATGCGCCTTTAACGCAGAATTTTTTGCGCGTTTGTTTCATCATATTTTTGGCGATTTCCAAGCTGAATTTTTCGATTTTTGCAGAGTTTTTGCTAAAAGTAATTGAAAAAACGGTCGAAAATCATGTTTTTCCATAGAAAATTGTTGTGGAACCGAAAAAATGTCGATTTTTGGGTGGAAAATTGAAAATCATAAAAAATAAAAAAATGCGTTTTTTGGAAGTGAAGAAATTCCAGTACTTTAGAAGATTTTGCTCTCAAATTGTCGCTTTTTGCTTTTTAAAATCTAAAATCGACAATATCTTATCTGGTCCCCTCTATTTCGGTTGAAATAGGAGTTTGCATCACTTATTGGTTTTTTAACTCTTTTCTTTCTATTTTTACAATTTCAAATCGATTTTCAGAATGGCCGCCGCTGCACAGAAGCTTTTGGGTCGCTTGGGAGCTCTCGGAGTCGGTCTTTCCGTCGCTGGAGGTATCGCACAAACTGCTTTGTTCAATGGTGGGTTTTTCAAAAAAGCGGTGTATTTGAACTAATCAAAAGCAATTTTCAGTTGATGGAGGTCAACGAGCAGTCATCTTCGATAGATTCAGTGGAGTGAAGAACGAGGTCGTCGACGAGGGAACTCACTTCTTGATTCCATGGGTACAAAAACCAATCATCTTCGACATCAGATCCACGCCAAGAGTAGTGTCAACCATCACCGGAAGTAAGGATCTCCAAAACGTCAATATCACCCTCCGTATTCTTCACCGACCAAGCCCTGACAAACTCCCAAACATCTACCTCACGATTGGTATGGACTATGCTGAACGAGTCCTTCCATCCATCACCAACGAAGTCTTGAAGGCTGTTGTAGCACAATTCGATGCACATGAGATGATTACTCAACGTGAGGTCGTTTCGCAACGGACATCAGTGGCTCTCCGTGAGCGTGCCGCTCAGTTCGGTCTCCTTCTTGATGATATCTCTATTGTAAGCTTAGATGTTAAAAGAGCTTTCTCAAAAAGTTTATTTCCAGACCCACTTGAACTTCGGCCGCGAATTCACCGAAGCCGTCGAAATGAAGCAGGTGGCTCAACAGGAAGCCGAAAAAGCCAGATACTTGGTCGAGAAGGCCGAACAAATGAAGATCGCCGCCATCACCACCGCTGAAGGAGACGCCCAGGCAGCTAAGCTCCTCGCTAAGGCCTTCGCCAACGTTGGAGACGGACTTATCGAGTTGAGAAAAATCGAAGCGGCCGAGGAGATCGCCGAGCGTATGGCCAAGAACAAGAATGTCACTTATCTGCCAGGAAACCAACAGACCCTTCTCAACCTTCAATCATAAACATGTTACGAGTTGTTTTCCCACCGACGAATTCCCCGTTTTTTGATGATTTTTCACCCTTTTCCTCATTTATATCTCCCAAATCTCACTGTTTAGGACCTTTCTCCGTTTTTGTAGTCATAGTAGTGCGTTTTTTTGTTTTATTTCTTGTTGGCTCTTCGTCTCAATATTTAATAAATTGTTCGAAAATTTAGGACACTTTTTTTTCTGTTGCTGAGAGGTTTTTTCGATCCATTTTCCCTATTTTTTTTGTATATATTTGAAGATTCTTCCAGGAGAAAGCTTTCAAAATTTCCAGATGTCGTTGATGAAATGTCGCTACTACGAGAACCAGTTTCCGGATGTCGAAGAGGCCGTCATCGCCAATGTGAAGATGATCGCCGATATGGGAGCTTATGTTCGGCTCTCTGAGTACAACGATAAAGGTTTGTAGGCGGGAAAAATCGCAAAATTTGAAGTTTTTAACCCCAAAAAGCGGAAAATTTCGCCTGTTATGAGCTGTATATAGCTAATTTCCGGTTGAAAACCCTGGTTTTCTCATTAAAAACTCTAAATTAGCCCATTTTGACTCTAGAAAGGTCCTTTTTCAAAAAAAAAATCGTATATTTTCAATGAATTTTGCTGTAAAAATAGTGAAATTATGTCTATTTTCTGATTAATTTTGCAGTAAAAATACTCAAAATGGATCATTTTTCATGAATTTAGCCTCAGAATTAGGTCAAAAATGTCTATTTTCTGACGAGTTTTGCACTAAAAACAGCTTAATTTAGTCTATTTTATGACTTTTTGCACCACTAAAAATTGCTCAAAAAGGTCAATTTTTAATGAATTTCACAGTAAAAATAGCTCAGAATGGATCATTCTCAATGAATTCAGCACTAAAATGGCTTGAAAATGTCCATATTCTGATGAATTTAGCTTTAAAAATAACACAACATCGGCCACTTTACATGAATTTAGCAGTAAAATCAGCTCAAAAAGGACCTTTTCCATGGATTTAGCACTGAAAATAGCTCAAAATGGACACCTTTTCATGAATTTTGAAGTAATTACAGCTCAAAAATGTCTATTTTCCGATGGATTTTGCAGTAAAAATATCTCAAAAAGGACAATATCCAATGTATTTAGCTCTAAAATTAGTTCAAAATCGCCCAATTTTCAGAAGGAATGATCTTGCTCTCGGAGCTCTCCCGTCGTCGTATCCGTTCTGTCAACAAGCTGATCCGTGTCGGACGTAGCGAGTGCGTCGTCGTCATTCGTGTCGACAAGGATAAGGGTTACATTGATCTCTCGAAACGTCGTGTCTACGCAAAAGACACCAATCAGTGCAACGAGCGGTATGCCAACGCCAAAATGGTCAACAGCATTCTCCGCCACGTGGCTGAGCAGCTGGGATACACCACTGATGAGCAGTTGGAGGACTTGTATCAAAAGACCGCGTGGCACTTTGATCGGAAAGAGAAACGGAAAGCAGCGTCCTACGACGCATTCAAGAAGGCCATCTCGGATCCGACGGTGCTCGATGAGTGTGATATTACTCCAGAGGCCAAGGAGAAGCTTTTGGAGGATATTCGCAAGAAATTGACACCTCAATCGGTTAAAATCCGGGCTGATATCGAGGTTTCCTGCTTTGATTACGAGGGAATTGATGCAGTGAAAGCCGCGTTGATCACTGGAAAGAACTGCTCCACTGAGACGTTCCCAATCAAGGTGAGAGCTGAAAAATCGCTGAAATTGAGCCACGTGGCTAAATTCTGGGGGTTTTTATCGCAAAATACCTATAACCCTGCTTTCAGATCAACCTGATCGCCGCTCCACACTTCGTCGTCACCACACAAACGTTCGATCGAGAAGGTGGACTTGTCGCTGTTAACCAGGTCCTCGAGACCATCAAAACGGCCATCGAGGGATTCAAGGGAAAATTCGCGATCAAGGAGGAGGCGAGAATCGTGACTGATATTGAGGACGAGAAGAAGAAGGGCGAGGGAGAAGATGAGGAGGAGGATTCGGAAGAAGACGAGGATGAGGAGGAGGACGAGGATGATGTAAGGAATCAATTTTTAGTTAGAGAAGCGCGTTACAATAGCTCTAAATGGACTACTTTTTATGAATTTAGCGCTAAAAATAGCTCAAAAATGTTCATTTTAGACGATTTTTGCAGTAAAATTTGCTCAGAATCACCCGTTTTCATCGAATTTAGCAGTGAAAACAATTGAAAATTGTCAATTTTCTGATGATTTTTGGTATCAAAATAGCAATTCAGCACTGAAAATAACCTAATTTCGCTATTTTTATGAGTTTGAATTGCTCAAAATAATCCCATATTTTTTCGAGTTTAGCAGTAAAAATAGCTCAAACTGGATCATTTTTGAGGTATTTTGCAGTAAAAATAACTCGGAAATTGTCTCTTTTTAATCGAATTCAGCTCGAAAGATAGCTTCAAAATAGACGATTGTCTTATGAATTGGCGCTAAAAATAATCCATTTTCGATGAATTTCGCACTAGAAATAGTTAAAAATGGACAGGTTTCGATTAGTTTAGCGCTAAAGGCAGCTCAAAACCGTCTATTTTTGACGAATTCGACATTAACAAATAGCGCATTTTTTAAAATGAATTTACCATTAAAAAGTTCGGAGTAGTCCATTTTTAACGAATTTATTAGCACTCAAAATAGCTCAAAATAGTATTTTTTTTAATGAATTGCGCACCGAATTGAGCCTAGAAGAGCCTTTTTTTACGAATTCAGCACTAAAAACACCTCAAGATTATCCAAAAAATCAACAAAATCAAATATAAAATTCCAGGACGGACTCATGGCACCAAAGGGACTCGATCAACAGGTCGACGCCGAGGAAGCCAGCCGAGACAACCGAAAGAAGGCCGGAGACGATGAGGATAGTGATGAGGAGGACGATTAGGCGACGGCTAATTGTTGTTATATTCGATTTCCCCTTTCAAAAGTTTGTTGAAAAAAAACCCCAAAAAATAATCATAAGTATTATTATTATTCAATTTTCTCCCTTCCCATTCTGTTCCCCATTTCTCCCCCTGTTGTTGGTTGTCTTCTTCTTCTTCTTTACACTATTTATATTTTCTCTCCACATAATATTCTTCTTTTCCTTTGTCTCGTTTTCCTCAATTTTCTGGGCCTTTTTTTCTTTCTTTTCTCTCTCAAAAATTCCGTTTTTTCATGAATAATCTTTCTGGCTTTTACCACTTTTTTCAGGCATTTTCAGGTATCCTTTCCATTTTGGGATATTTAACTCAGGCCCCTCTTCCGACATGGCCTAAAGGTCAAGGCCCCTATGGGTGTCACGTGGGCCCCCGTGGCAACAACTGCCCACTGGTCACTTTGTGTACTTTGCTTCCTCTGTTATCAGTTAGCAAAGGGGAATTGAAAAACTTGAAAAGTGATCAATCAAGTGTTGTATACTTTTCTCCCCTTTTTTCTCTTCTTTTGTTGATATTTTTTCTGAAAATTCGTAATTTTGTTTTTTTCTAATGTCTCCTGACTCCGATTTTGTTTTTCTGTCACTTTTTTGTTGATTTTTTCGGTTTTTTGGCTGAAAAAAACTCCCCAAATTCGAGTAAAATTTAGTTTTTTACCCCAGAAATCAAATTTTTCAGCCAAAAATTCCCTCTGCCACCAGTGGCCGAGCTTTTGAAAATTCTAGGCCACCGATTTTTTTCGAGATTCGCGAATTTTGACTCAAATTTTGGATTTTTTTTTGCTGGAAAAACCTAGTTTTCGGGCTGGAAAATAGTCTGAAAATTCGATTTTTTAAAACAAATTTCAGCTAAAAAAAAATCTGAAATTTCAAAAAAAAATTTTTTTTGCTGAAAAAAAAATCGTATTTTAGACTCCAAATTTGTGTGTTTCCGTTTCATTTTCCGGATTCCAAACTCCAAAAAAAAGATAATCTTTTCATTTTTTTCCCGGACAGCCTGAAAGAAAATGTGTTTTACTGATAACGAAAAATATGAAAATTGTCAAAAAAGTGTCAAAAGAAATTGATAAAATGGACATTTTGTCGGTGTATCTCTTTTTTCTCGAATAATCGGGTGATGATATGATGGTCAGTTGGCGAAGAGTTGGCTACACTGTTTTCTGGAAAATTCGAAAAAAAAACATTTTTTGGCTTAAATTTTTGAAAACATCTCATTCTTTCGCGTTTTTTCAGTGAAAATGAGGTCAAAAATCGTAAATTTCGCACTTAAAAACCTCGAAAATCGAGAGATTTGACCCTAAGAAGACTCAAAAACTCATTTGCCACCAGTGGCCGAGTTTTTGAAATTTCTAGGCCACCGGATTTTTTTTTGATTTTCGGCTCAAATTTTGATTTTTTCAAGGAAAAAAATCTGGTTTTCGGGGTGAAAAACGCCTGAAAATTCGATGAAAACCTTCTTTTTCTCAATTTTTAAATTTTTCAGCCAAAGAAATCTGAATTTCAAAAAACAATTTTTTTGAAAAATTTGAAAAAAATTTTTTTCAACTTTTTCTCTTATTTTTTCGCTTTTTTCACTAATTTTTCCTCTATTTCCTCATATTTTCAGCCCAAAAAACTAACCTAAAATGAGCGGAACGGCGCCAGATGGGCTGCCCAAAGGCAATCGAGTATGGGCGGATGGATGGTTGGTTTTTCAATGTATTTGACCGATTTTACGCGCCAAATTTGAATTTTGAATGCGAAAATCGGCAACTTTGAGTCTTTTTCACCCAGAAAACCAGGTTTTTTACATGGAAAAATGAGCGGAAATTCAAAAAAAATCCGGTGGCCTAGGAATTTCAAAAACTCGGCTCATGAAGTGATTTTGAGTTTTTAAACGCTTTTTTGAAGGGGTTTTTCATGTAAAAACAAGGTTTTTGATGGGAATTTTTAAAAAAAAATAATTTTCGAAAAAAAATTTTTCAGCAAAATTATTTTTTTTCAGCTACGACATGGTCCACTTTGGCCATGCGAACCAACTGCGCCAAGCCAAACAATTCGGACAAAAACTCGTCGTTGGCGTTCATAATGACGAGGAGGTACGGTAGTTTTTTCTTCTAGGTCACCTGGAAAAAGTTAGGCCATGAAAAAAAAATAGTTTTTTTCGAAATTTTTACACATATTTGACTCTATATTTTCACCTATTTCAACCTAAAAATTATCTAAAATTTCAAAAAAAATTGTTTTTCGAAAAATTCAAATTTCCCGCCAGATCCGCCTCCACAAAGGACCGCCGGTGTTCAATGAGGAAGAGAGATACCGTATGGTCGCTGGTATCAAATGGGTCGACGAGGTTGTTGAAAATGCGCCCTATGTGATACGGTAGACACGCTGGATAAGTATCAATGCGATTTTTGTATTCATGGAGGTATGGGGAGGGCAAGTGCGCTCTGTTGGACACGAGGGCGCGAGATTTGAAAATTTCCTGGTTATGTCGGTTTTTCGGGTTTTTTGAAGAGAAAATTAGCTTTTAGAACGAAAATATAGTTTTGAAAAATTCAAAAATTTGAAAATTCTGGAAATTTTGAAAATCGAAAAATTCAAAGTTTTGAAAAAAAAATTTTTATCTCGAAATTTTGAAAATTTTCCATTTTTGGGGCTCCAGAGGTCCCCGAAGTGGAAGTTATCTGAAAATTAAAGCAGAAAATCCGGAAAAATTAAGAATTTTGAAATTTTATCATTAGAGCGCACATGCTCATTTTCAGGCAAATTTTGATGATTTCGAGAAATTCGAAATTTCCAAATATTCGAATTCTCAGAAAATTCAGGAAATTCAGAAATTTTCAAAATTTTTGAAAAACATTTTTTTTTTTCGAAATTTCGAAAATTTTTCTTTTTTTCGTGTCTCCAGAGGTCCCAGAATTTGAAATTTTCTTAAATTAAGTCTTGAAATTTTATCATTGGAGCGCACATGCTCATTTTGAGACTATACCAGCCTAATTGGTGCCAAAAAGTTCTAACTTTCAAATTTTGATTATTTCGAGGAATTCGAAATTTCCAAATATTCGAAAATTCAGAATTCTAAAGTTCAAAAATTTGAAAAAATCGGAAAATTGAAATTTTTCGAATTTTCGAATTTTTGTTATTTTCGAGATTTTAAAACACTCCGGATAGAAAATTCCAGAAAAAAAAAGCAGAAATTTCAAATTTTTTGGGAAAAAAATTCAAAAAATCAAGAATTTTGAAATTTTCTCATTAGAGCGCCCATTCTCATTTTCAGGCAATATCATCCTAATTGTCGCCGAAAATTTCTAAATTTCGAATTTTTTGAATTTTGAGACTTTTTTTTGGATTTTGAGAATTCAGAAGATTTCAAAAATTTGAAAATTCTGAAAATCGAAAATTTTAAAATTTTTGAAAATTTTTTTTTCGAAATTTAGAAATTTAGGGATTTTTCGATTTCTGAAAAATTTCAAAATTTGAAGTTTTTTTTCGAAAACTGAAGCAGAAAATTCCAGAAATTTCGAATGTTTTTCGATAAAATCAAGTAGTTTGAAATTTTATCACATTCTCATTTTTCATGCAAGGTCATCCTGATTGTTTTCAAAACTTTCTAAAATTTAAAAATTGCGAAAAAATCGAGAAAATTCAAAATTTTGAAACTTCAAATATCGATTTTTCTAATTTTTGGGAGTCCAAAATAGTACCAGATAAAAAATAACCTGAGAAATTTCTAGAAATTTCAAATTTTTGTGAAAAAAATTGCAAAAATATAAATTTTCGAAATTTTCTCAATAGAGCGCACATTCTCATTTCTAGGCAATATCACCATAATTGCGACAAAAATGTTCAATTTAGTCAAAAAAAATTGAATTTTCTAGATTTTGAACATTCCGAAATTGCCAAATTTTAAAATATTTGAAAGTTCGAAAATTCAAAAAATTCAAATATCGAAAAAAATTTTTTTTTGAAATTTCAAAATTCGAATTTTTCCGGTTTTTTTCTAGAAATTTAACAACGTTTCGGCAGAAAAAATCCAGAAAAAATCCAAATTTTTCATATTTTTGTGAAAAAATTGCAAAAATTCGAATTTTCGAAATTTTCTCATTAGAGCGCACTTTCTTCCAGACGACATCACCCTGACCGCCGACGGCAAAGACACGTATCAAGAAGTGAAGGATAACGGGCGGTACAGAGAGTGCAAACGGACATGTGGGGTCTCAACGACGGACCTCGTGGGCCGAATGCTCTTGCTCACTAAAAACCATCATACCCAGGATGAGCACATTGAGCAACACGTCGAACGAGCACGTTCGTTGAGTACGGTAAGTCATCTGAAAACTGAGAATTCCAGAAAAATCCGGATTATCGATTTATTGATTTTTCTCAATTTTTAGGCTATATCGGATTACGCAACGGTAAGCTCTTGCAGAAGTCTTGCTGGTTTCTAACGCTATTTTCCATGATTTTTTCAGAGCTTGAAATTTAAAAATTACAGTTTTTCAGTGGAGCGCGATTGCTCACTTTATTTTTGGGAAATTTTGAAATTTCGCTTTTTTAAAAAAAAATTTTTCAAATAATTTTGGTAAAACACCCATTTTCCAGTGCAAAACAGATTTTCCAAATTTTCAGAAATGTTTCAATAATTTCGAAAAAAAATTTTCTGAAATTTTTTTTATTCAACAAACTGAATTTTTTGAATTTTTAGCATTTTTCGAAAAAAAATTTTTTGGAAAATTTTGAAATTTTGGCAAAAAACTGGAAATTTTTCGAACTTTTGTATTTTTTTTGACAAGCTCAAATTAGCTATTTATAGGGTTTTTAGGCTGTTCTTCGAAACGAAAAATGCTTTGTTCAGTGGAGCGCGATTGCTCACTTTATTTTGGGAAAATTTGAATTTTCGCAATTTTTTTAACTTTTTCTCAATTTATAATTTTTTGAACAGGTTCAAACACACATTTTGAGTTGTAAAACAGCTATTGTCGGAATAAAAAAAGTGAG